CTATGCTTACGTTAAGAACATTTCATACTCATTATTAAAAATAAAATATAAAATGTTTGACTCTCGAACAATGAAAACTGACCAAGATATTTCCTTTTAAAGTTAGAAATCATATTCAGGGACTGTACACAAACAAAATACTAAAATGTTTGTTTTTGTAAATAACTAAAAATAAAATAGCAATTTATGAAAATATTTCTTTCAATAATAAATCAAATGACGAGCATTTCTGTGTAAATTGCCGTAAAATGTATTGATGAATATTAATGTTTTCAAGTAGGAGATCATATTCGTAGAATCTAATGGAACTCATAATCCAGGAAACAATGTTGATTGGTTGGCTGTAAATTTATGGTGAATAACGTTCACGTTTATGATGGCCTAAACCTATGATCAGTATTGTCAATACAGGACTCAAAGTGAAATAATGAATAAACTCAAATTTAAAAATATTCCCATGTTAATGTTGTATTCGGCAAATGTTATACCGTTCAGCCTGTATAGTGGTTAGTGACGTGCAAGCGTATATTGTCTGTGCGGCGTTAAGACATCGAAGCATGAAGCCCATACATGAATTTTTACTGGAACCCCGGAGCGTACTAAGTAGCGAGATGTTGCGACCCAAGACAGCCCGGGATAGGCCTAAAAGAAGCCGTACTGTCAGCACCCTGCCGAATCAGAAACAATGGCTACCACAGAAACAGTGGCTCTAGTTGTATGAAGATAATCTATTTACCCCGATCTGTTTAAGTACGGATTTTAGCCAGAATGCTGGGGATTGCTCCCCAGTTAACCTTTTGAGACCGGGGCTTTGATAGCAGTAAAAGCTACCAAAGAACGGAGAATCTTGAACCGAATGCTTTCCCCCCTTTAAGAAATCACCTCCTACTTTCAACAAAGATTCTTGTGTGTAGTTTAATGGATTCAGAGAGGGATGCATATGTGTCGCAAAAGGAAGACCTTTGAAAGAGATAAGTGGTTAAAACCCCTAGGGACGTCAAATTTGACATTTCACCCCACTTTTCAGCCTGGAAAATGGGGGAAAAAGACATGGCCACTAAAGTGGACAACCCCGTCTTTTCAAAGAGAGGACTCTATGGCCACTATAATGGTCATCCCGTCTTCAAAAGGTTAAATCTCGGGAAAGAGTGTCTGTGCTCTAAGAGGTGGTGTGGTGTGGTGTATTTAATAATGCAAAGCACACTAGGGCTATATGCCTAAGGGGAGGGATGCCTTCGTGGAAGACTTTCTAAGAGAAACTGGCTCGTATACACGTTACACATGGGGAAAACCACGAAAACACCCATGCAGCCAGCCCGTTCGCGGGATTCGAACCTCGGACCGAACTACCAGTGTTCAGCGACTTTACCGCTCGGCCGCTGGTGGGCCTGTGCTCTAAGAGGACACTTAAAATACAAGTCAAGCCGAAAATCCTCTCAAGAGGTTGGTGGTAGAAGAGGAGCCTTGGAAGACCCCCGGACAGCCTCCAGTATGTTCTCCTTTAAAATTAGGGCTGAAGCTTGATAGTTAGTTAAGTGCAGCAGTACCTCACTACAGAAGTGCTGCTGGCTTAGCTTCTACCTGTACCTATAGTGGACAAATATACAAATGAATGAAACATGGAAATAAACGAATCCATGAAATCAATTAAATCAAAGGACATAATACATATTAAAGTATTTAGTAGGTCTAAAGAACTATGAAAAATAAAGTTAAAAGATAAAACTATCTTAAATATAAAAAGTCTCTTAGTCTTACTAATATAAAAGTCATTAGTCTCTCTTAAATATAAAAAGAAATTAACACTGACCTCTTTTACGATCAAACAGTAGAAAGATGAGCCATAGGCAATATAATATTTCAAAATGGAATTCCTTAAAATATGAGCAGTTTATTAAAATGCGAAGTACCCTCAAGGGAGGATTAGAATGCAAGCACAAGCACTCATTTCCGTGGTACGACAATGTCCAATTTTTAAGGCGAATTAACTGAAACTCGTTATTCCTGTTTCCATTAGCTTCCTATTATTCCACTCGAGGTTGACGCTTCTCAAGCCGTTATGCAGCTGCACGTTCCCCATAATTATTAAAAATATTCTCCTTGACGATAATACTTGTATCTCTGAAGGGGACGCAACGACTAAAGAATCCAGCAGCATATCTTGTTGTCGTGTCTGCTAGCTCCTTTCTTTCAATACCTATATGTCAGAGAACCTAGCAGTAAAGAATTTGGTAACCATTTAAACTTAGATTTAGATTTAGGATTTCAACTAATATTCTATTTGGTGCGTTTATGATAATTCAGTTTAAAATTTTGTCGGCAAGGTCTAGGAATGAAAGAAAGAGCATAATAATACACAGCAGTTAGCTCTAAAGTGAGAAAAAGTCCTATTTCATATGGTGGCCAATTACAAGACCAAGACCAAGACGTTCCAAGACCAGCTGCTTTCTACCTATTTGTGCATAGGGGAATGTTACTTTTGTACTTGTCTCTATATTTCAGAAAAAAAAACTGCTTATGTATCATATCATCAGTATTCCTTCTGTCAAAATGGATGAAAATATCAAGAAGCCAAAATTGCAGATTTACCCAAAGTGACATTTCAGAATGCTTTACTGCTTGGGTATTAATATCAGATATGCAATATTCCTCAATGACAGAATGAACCCTTATAGAGAAAGGAAGTACATAAGACAGCCGTGTTTCAAATAAGAGATCGCACATGTCACCAGGAAAATCATGTTAGGATACTATATTGAAAAAGCAAAGTTATTTTTCATAACAGCAAACTTACAATCTCTGTAGAGGAAATTTTCTATATGCTCTAAATAAAACTACAACCTGTGTAGATCTATAGATGACGCAGTTGACTGGTCATTGTCACTTTCACTGTCACGGCCTTCCACAGACCAATATGGCACAACAGGGCATTCTCGAATGCGGCCAACTCTGAATTATGTATCAGCTGATCTTGTTTGAGGATCTTGAGATAATTTCCTGTTGTGATACGTAAGATCTCAGAACTAACACCTCAACTGTAAGTTGAGGATTTGTGTTCAGACATGTTAACATCGACTTTTCCAAGTTTTCTCAATTTAAGAAGGGTAATGGATTGAGTTAGAGAAGCAGTTTCAATTAGAAGACATCCACATTACAGCCATTTGATGTTATTTGGCTTACCATACAGTATAGCGTGTATTAACGTATCAGGAACGGAGACACTTTTTGGCGAATACCAATAGAGCTGTTAATGACAAGAAAGCGTAATAGACTATTTTGAGATTATCATTTGTATTTTTTTTTCAGTTTTTTACATAGCGAATCATTTTCATTAACACATTTTAAGATTTTTTAATCATATTTAAAATAAACGAAAATTCGTACCAGTGGCCCCATCCATCACGGAGTCCAACAAAAGTACGCAGATTTCCGAGCCAGGACTGACCAATTCTATACGTAGTTTGAAGCCCCACATTTAGTTTTCTCGAAAGTAGATTCTCCAGAAAGCTTATCCCAAGCCACTGGCACTAATGCCAGTTGATTGACACTACCGGAACAACTAAGTGCCTTCTGTTTCAATCTGGAGCACAGGCCAATGCAGTGTGTTGGAGACAGTACCTCGCCCTACATCTACCATGATTCTTGTTTTCAGCCTCACAGGTTCCCATGCACGGTTTTCTCTGCTTGAGAAATTGGAAACAAAGGGATGTAATAGCATGTCCTTTTGAACCCCTGTCTTTGAAAAGGAAAATAACAAGGAAATGAAAAGTGGTAAACTAACTAATAAAAAGAGGAGAAAATGGAAGGAGGAAATATGACTGGAGTTCCGTAAGCACGATCCTTTTCTCACCAAGAGAGTGATCCTCAGAAGGGCTAGGGTATCACGGTATCGCCACATCCGTACTGAGTGAACTCCTGGGAACCAAAAACATTATCGGACTTCAGTTTGGGCAAATAGCCAACTCCTAACACTATTTGCGTAAGTTAAATAGTTTCTGTTTAATGATTTTTTTCGCATGATTATCAGCTCGTTATTATCTAAGCTATAATAAAACCTTATGACAGTATTAATGATGTATTTTTAGCGTTCGAAAACTTATAATTGACTTTGTGTGAAAATTCTTCCCGCATACTTGTAATAACAGAACTGTAAATTGAAGAACGTTAGACACGAGTAAATTACAAAAGAATATCATTGAATAAAATTTAAGGGGAGAAACTTAACCCGGAATAATTCTAATGTACTTATCAATGGCGTCCTCAAGGCAAATTGAAAATGATGACACATATACTTAATTTCAAAATGACCTCGGTCAACTTTTGTCGTACGGGCGTCAAACCTTATTTTTTATAACAAAGAAAATATTTCCTCAAATGTAAGTACGGGAACAATATAAAAAGTTAGGTTTCGGATTATTTTTAAATTGATTTCTTTTAAATTAAAAAAATACCAAAAAATGAACGTATGGGTAATTTAAAATAATTTTGCTGCTGGAAATGTTATGTTTACGACTAATGATTGTGAAAATAAAGGCTTCATAATGACTTTTCTAGACACTGTGCACATATAAATACACTAAATCACCAATTCCCACTACAAATATCTGAATCAAATGCCTCACAAGATAACATCAGCACCCAGAGGTATTTCACAATATGTTATGGTTTCTGCTGGAAGAGTAAATATTTACCCTTGGGAGTATGTTTATTGGCGGAATACGCCGCTTTACTTTCGTCAACGTATAAAAGCCAAGCGGCATATAGCGCTATGTATGGAGCGGCATATGCTGTCTTGTCCTTGAGAATGTGTTAATCCATTTCATAAAGAAGGCTTTAAATGCAGTTCTGGAATATGTAAATGGCAATAGAAGGGAGCTTATTTCGAACGGACCAAAAACTGATGTGATTTACGTCATCAGGTAATTCTTAAATTTCCCCAATAATATCCCCGAAAATCCCTACTCATTTGCATAATTTATGTAGCAACCCAACAAAACGAAGAATCAAACCGGCCCTAATCTCGAGGTCACACAGGTCTCAGGACGGAAACAGAGTAAAAAAATAATGAGCGATTACCCACAATGCATTTCTGCTGAAGAAATAACGCACATGCTTATTTCAATCTGAAAGTAAACGATAAGTTTGACACTTTTGTGTGAAGTTTATTTACGAGTTTTTAATATATTTCATTGTAATTATTCAGCACTAGAAATGCATGGAGTAAAAGCGCAGCCATTTTTGCAACCTGCGGTAACAGATGAAAGGATTGGATTGTTGCTCACGTCTTCTGCTTCATGTAAGTGTTTTTATTCTTATATTTGTTAACGGTATTTAAACTAGCTGATTTTTTTTTCATAATACTTAATGATGTGTGAAGGAGAATAATTCATTTCTTAGAATATTTGGTACACACTGAAGGCAGATTTACCAAATTATATATATTTTGTATTAATGAGGAGTTACTTACAGATGTCAATGATAATAGTTTCCCTGGCATTTCTTACACATCATTAGCGGTAAAAGAAGCGAACTTATTGAATTACATAACAAACGACGCTGTTGAAATTCAAAATAACAAAAATAATTTTTGTATGAGGAACAAAGTGAAAAATCGAAGGCGAGAATTATTAAAAGGTGTAATGGTTAACTTTAGGGTAGTATCTGAAGCGCTGATTCACAAATACTATAGTATAAATTATACATAATATACGAATGTGTATAGTATACTATGAAAAACAGGTTAGTTCTGTGGTAGTACCCGCAAACATTCATATGATAATGGCAGATCCGAAATGTTCTAATAAAAGAAGAAAAGCAACTGTGTGATAGATAAATAAAAAGAAAGCACTGACCACAAACAAAATGCGAATACAATTAAAATACAAAGAAACTATGCTGAAACATGACAGCGATAGATTACGTCAACCCTGTTTTTCTTTTCAGTTTTTGAGTCAACACACATCAAATAAATTTCCATGGAATGATATATGAGCCAGCATTGCCTTCTGGCCACCGCCAGTGGCCGAGCGGTAAAGTCGCTGAACACTTGTAGTTCGGTCCAAGGTTCGAATCCCGCGAACGGGCTGGTTGCATGGGCGTTTTCGTGTTTTTCCCCATGTGTAACGTGTATACGAGCCAGTTTCCCTTAGAAAGTTCTCACGAAGGCATCCCTCCCCATAAGCAGATACCCCTAGTGTGCTTTGCCATAATTAAATGCACCAACACCTACTGGCCACCGTTAAATTCAATACATTTTCAACATATTTTATAACCGTGTTCCTGTTTTCAAAGTTAAGTTAACAATTTCAAAGTTAATTAAGTTTTTAAGGTGTGATACTACATTCCATTCTAATAAAATAACTAAACCAGAGGTCTATTTTTCTTATGCCAAGTAAAGTTTCATCTGAATCGAAATGAATTGATGACAGAAGGATGACAGAGGAATGAATTGATGACAATTTCTTGTTGGAAGCGTTATATTGGCACATACATTTTTATAGAAAAATATTTTTGGCGATTGTTTTCTAAAACGGAAATGATCACATCATCTTTCATTACATCCAGAATTGGATACACACAAAAACACAAAAACTAGACGTATGCAGATACATTTGTATGTCACTTTAGTTAAGCTGTCGTTAACTGATGTCCAAAACTGTCCAATCAGTATTTTTAGTTTCGATTATATAGAAAGGAACAAATAAATTTTAATTACAATAAATTACCATTATATTCAGCCTCTGAAATCAATAGATCAAAGAAACTCCTCATTAAAATATGAATTTGAAATTATTTTTGAAATTTATTTCTTGGTATGCCTTCAAAAATCTCTGTATATATTGCTATATTTTAAACTTAGGGCAAAGGCTATCTCTTTAATCAGTTACAGGAAGACATACGATAGCTGCCTTAAGAGGATTCTGAATAAAATGCATTGCATTCACCGAAAATTAATTTTTCAATATAGTATATATTAAAGCTCTATAAGGTATTTCTCTCGCCTTCTTAGCATGCCTTCTTAGTGTAGTGGTCAGAACGCTGGGCGTGTATTCCAGAGTTCCGTGGTTCGATTCCTGAAGAGGGCGTTGCTCATTTTTCCGGCTTTCAAAAAATAACTTAATGTCTATACAGTTCACTATAAGAGTTTTTCAACTACTAGTATTTAAAACTTGGAAGGCTGTCTAAAGGAACAATTGAAAGATGTGGCTTTAAAATGATGATATATCATATTGGTCAGACGAACACTTATTTTTAAAATAAAAGAATTGTAATTGCTAGAGTTTGGTAGAATAAAAATATTAAATATTTTATTTCAGAGGATAAATCATATTTCATGTTTTAATTCGAAAATCTATTATTTATTTTCTTTAATTTCAAATTGTGGTCATTGATCTTGAAATTTTGCTAATGATTATGTGCTTATTTAGAATTGAAAAAATGTTAATTTCAAATTCAAACCAGAAAGCATTTATTTCTGTTCTTGCATAAATTAAATATTTTGCCTATATATATACAGTGTTGGCGAATGAAAATCTCATTTTTATGTTAGATTTCAATAAACAGAATACAAGAGAAAGGCTGAAAGATGCTAGAAAAAGGAAGAAAAAGTGGCAAATCTTAATTTTAACATTTTTAAATTTTAATTTTCAAATTTTAGTATTATTCTTTCTGCGAAAAGTTTGTCAGGGAAGAGCTGATACAGCAACTGTATTTGTTTTTATTATTAAAAATATTAAGAAAATGTGTGTTCACGATTGTGATAACCAATGGGTGATTCTTCAAAATCATTTAGACCTAATTTTGAAGCTCTTTATTCTGTCCTAAACGTACACTGCTATTGAACCCCAAAATAAAAAAAAAATAAAATAAAAAAACTATTGATTTCAATGATTTTTGAAAATTAGATGAGATAGTTGTAAAAATAATTGCGTAAAATAAGGTGGAGCATAAAAACAGTTCATAACATTGTAGAGACATTAGGTATTTTTTGGAAGCAAGAGAGATGAAAAATTAACAACCGCCTTCTCCGGGAGTCGAACCATGGAACTCTAGAATACCAGCCCAGCGTGCTACCGTTACACCACGAAGGCACGCTAGAGAAGTGGGGGAAATATCTTATATACTTCCCTTTTTAAAGGGCGACTAGGGTTTTAGAGGACCTAATCGCCAATTCCTGGGTGCGGAGAATCATCATCCACAAACATTTTAGTTCGGGCACCAATTGTAGAGTCATTAGGTTAATTGGAAGCAGAAAAGATGAAAAATATGCAATCGCCTTCGCCGAGAATCGAACCACGGACCTCTGGAATACCAGCCCAGCGTGCTACCGTTACACCACGAAGGCACGCTAGGGAAGTGGGAGAAATACCTTATAACATGTAGGATGCCGCCCAGACGGTCTAGTGGTTAGGGAAGCCTGACTGCGATACCAAAGGACCCGGGTTCGAATCCTGGAGAAGGCATGGATGTAAAATTGTATGTCCCTTCATAGAAAGTAACGGTGGCCGCCTATTAGGTGCCTCCACAATAAAATGGCTACTACTTCTGGCTTTAGTAGTGGACAATGCCGTTATAGGCAAATGCCAGCCATTTTGAAAAAAAAAAAAAAAAAAAAAAAAAAACCATGTAGGATTGCGCGAGGATCAACCCTCGCGTTGATCGACATAGCTATACTAGCATTGCTGGCTTGCCGTATTGTTAGGCACGGGTCTGAATTGTGGAGATAGCTCAGATGTGTTTTGTCAATGTACAGTGACTGTGCAACAAGAGGACGCTTAAAATACATGGCTAGCCAAAAGTCTTCTTAAATGGTTTTCTGGCAGAGGAAGACGGGTGGAATAACTATAAACTCATCCCTCGAGGGAATTCTGCTTCAAAATTGGAATAGGGCCCCCCATAAGAGGGAGTCTATGCATTTTTCCATTTTTAAGCTAAAGAAAATAATGCCTTCTCACGTCCATAAGATCAAAAGTCTTGGCTCTGGCCACACCTTTCTTCAGATTTTTCAGTACCACACCCCTCACTAATTTATTAGAAATAAATTGAAATCTAGAATTTAATATTTAGATAATTAAATTGTTATGTAACGCTTATTTATAGTAAAAAAAGTATTTGCAATTTTTCATCAAGTGCGTAGCTTGAATTTTTACAAAAACTATTTTGCACTCTTTGTATTTCGGAAAAGAAGCTAAGAACATCAAACTCTAGTTTTACTTATTTTCATGTCTAAGTTCTGCCTACTAACCGACTTGCGCTGCACTGTGCGCACCATGGTTTCACCATTGGACAGTGCATATTTATATGAATGTAAAAGCATAAAACAATTTGCATGATTCTAATTACATTTTGTATACTGTTATGTGTTATTTTTTACAAATTGTTATGCATTTTTAATCTATTATTAAAAATGTTTTTATAAAATATTACTTTCCTAAATGCACGCTAAAGATTTATTAACCTTTTGCGGCGCAGTGTGCCCGGTCTGGACACACCTAAGAATTTCCTTCTGTACGCACAGAAAAATTGAATGAAAAAGGATTTATAGGTTACTATAGGTTACTCTGAACTTTCTTTATTTATAGTAGATGGCAGCTCAACACAAACAGTCCATATATTTTAGCCATGTTTAGTTTTTTAAAACCCTCGTTTTTCAAAGAAATCTTCCAAATTTTTTTTAGGGTGTAAAAGGAATTGTTTGAAAAGAAATGTCTATGTTATTTTTTTTGGCTGTACGCTAATCTCCTTATTCTGTATTAGTTTTAAATTTTTGCCTTGAAATCTTGTCTAAAATCAAACTGTGAACCCTAGGTGTGCCCAGACTGGGCTCACCGATAATCTAGGAAAATTGAGAGTCTGTATTCTTTGTTCCTCCGCATCTCATGGGTCAGTTCATTGACAACAATGCTCGTTTTCAGCACTCTTTCTTGAAACTCTATTCAATCAGCGTGCCACTTTGGGCACACCCACAGAATTAAAACGATAAGTGCTATCTTCACAAAATTTTACTTGTGTACTCCTCTAGGCCTAATTAGACTGCCTGCTTTTTTTTTTTTTTTTTTTTTTTTTTTTTTTTTTTTTTTTGTATTCAAAACTCCGACTTTAGAAGGTAGCGTGCCGGAAAGAGTTAACATGCAGGATGTAAAAATAAAAATTACATTATTTGTGAAAGCTGAGCATTTCCATTTCACAAATTTAAAATTATTAAATACTTGAAGCATGATTAAAATATAATTTTATTTATCAAGTTTGATAAATTCGCAACAAAGAATAAAAATGAAATTAATCCTTAAATTTTAT